CGCCAGAAAGTCGCCGGGGCCCATTTTGCACGATTTCCTGAGAGACGAAGGTCTCCCCGGCGATGTCCTGAAGGTTGCAGACGACGTCGCGCTCCTCCTCCCGCCCCGGGCACGGTGCGGGCGTCCCCAAGGCCGGGGGTCACCGGTCACTCCGCGCCTTGCGTCTTGTCCTCGGGCGCCTGGGTCCCTCTCTGGTTCCACATGTGGTTGTTGAGGCCCAGCTGCACCATCTGCGCGTGGTGGATGATGAGGGGCTGCAGCCCCGGGCTCTGAGGGGGCGCCGGGGGCTGCGGGAAGGCGGGCGCGGGTGCCGGGGCGCCGGCCAGCCACGGGGGCGCGGGCGGCGGCGGCTGGTGGCCCGGCCAGGAGGGAAAGGGCGGGGGCGCTCCCAGGGGCCCCGGAGTCCCAAAGGGCATGTGGCTCCCGAAGGCCACCCGGAGCGTCTCCATCTGCGCCTGCCAGGCCGAGTGGCTCTGGAAATAGGCCGAGTAGGCGGCGCTCAGCGCCGAGACGCGCTGCCGCTCGCCCTCCAGCTGCTGGCGCTGCTCCTGCAGGGCGCGTACGTCCTGCTCCTTCCTCCAGTGGGCCCTGCGGGCTCGCAGCCTCTGCGGCTTGAAGGTGTTGGCCACCTTCCTGGCGAAGATCTGGGAGCGCTCGTCCAGCCACACCAGGCTGGTGAGCAGGCTGCAGGTGTGCGGGCTGAGCTGCTCCAGCGAGCTCTCCAGGGGCAGGAAGGGGATCACGCAGTCCCCGCACTCGTGCCGCGTGAGGCTGTTCATCAGGGACTGGCCCGCCTGGTGCAGGCCCAGCTGGCAGTCGAAGTTGGGGGTGAGCAGCAGGAGGGTGAAGGCTGAGTGGTCGAGGGCGTCCTGCAGGCAGCGCAGGTGGCCGCGCCCGGGCACCTGGAAATCCTCGCAGAAGGTGGCGCCATCCGGGACGCCCAGGCTCTCCAGCCTCTCTCGGACCCGCAGGGCAATGTCCTCGTCTGCCCCCGCGTGCAGGATCACAAAGTTGTAGAATTTCTGCTCTGGCTCCAACTCGGGGGGCGGGGGGCACGGATTCCAGGCGGTGGAGCAAGTGGAAGGTGGGATGGATGGAGAAGGGCAGGGCGCGGAGGTCCTCGGGGCCGAGGGGGTGGGGGGGGAAGGGGGGGCCCTCTGGGAGGCGGTATCTTCTACAGGGAGTGAGAGGGGGGTCTGGTCCTTGTCAGGGCAAGTGGTTTTGGGGGGCAAGGGGAGAGATGTGGGGGCTGCCAGCACGTGGCTGCGCTCCACCGGGTGGCGGGTGCCGCTTTCCAGAGCTTTGGGGGCGTCGGGCTGGCCAGTGGGGCTTGCATCTGGGACCACCTCAGGAAGTCTAGGGCCCGGGCTGTCTGGTGCCATCTGGGGGCCGGCAGTCTCTCCGGATGAGGGGTCCTCCAAAGAGGGGCCCTCCGATGAGGGGCCAGCGGTCTCCCCCAGCAGGGGCCCGGCAGTCACCCCCGATGGCGGGCCGGCTGTGTCCCCAGGTGAAGGGTTGACAGCCTCCTCGGATGGTGGCCAGCTCACTTCCTCAGGCTCCTGGCAGCCTGTGGGGGCAGGTTCAGGTTCGGGCCCGGGGCCTGCCCGGGGCTCCTCACACAGCTTGCTGGGCGCACGACAGCCGCGGTGCTGGCTGAGAAGAGGCATGGTGGGTGACTGGCTAATTTCCAGGTTGCTGGCGAGGGAGGCGGGGCTGCTGGTGGATCTCAGAGAACACCCTCTGCTCCAGCCCGAAAGGCCCTCGATGGGCTTGGGAAGGCTGCGGGTGCCCGAGGGGGACACCGAGGATGGCGGGAGGCAGCCCCGATCGGAGCGAAGGGGCTGGAAGCTCCCGGGGGCCCGGATGACGCCCCAGCCGCACCGGTCCCGGGCCTCTCCCTGGAGCTCGGCCAGCCGGTGGTCGTCCCTGGCGCTGAACGTCTGGAGGGCTGTCTGGTAGGCCAGGTCCCGCATAGGGGCCGGGCACAGCTTCTCCTCGGCGAGCAGGTGGTACACCCGGGCAATGGCCCAGGACAAGTCTGGGGGCTCCTCCGGGGCCTCGGCGCCGTCCACGCCGGCCCAGCGGCGGGCCACGAGCCGGGCCACTGCGTCCGCCCTCAGAGCTTCCAGGGAGATCCTGGCCTCCGTCTCCTGGCCCAGCTTCAGAAGCACCATGGCGTGCAGGAGGTCTGCCCCTCGGCAGCCCTGGTGGACCGTCTTCAGCTTGTGCTTAAGGTACAAGAGCTTGTCCTGGCCTGCGGCACCTAGAATGTCGAAGGCGCCGGAGAGCGACGGGCCCGTGCGGGCCATGGGCACAGGTGGGTGCAGCCGCGGGCAGCAACACTGGAGGCTGGAGGCATGTTCCGCAGCACCTGCCTTCCTGCATGCTGGGTGTCCCCCGACGTGCTCACCCCAATCCCACGGGGGGACCCTGGGGCCGACCTGTGGGGCGAGAGAGACACCGTCAGAAAGGGGGCAGCTCTGGGAGGGGGCCCAGACGCCCCCACCTGCCTGCCTTCAGCGCCAGCACCACCTGCCAGGGTGACCTTGAGAAAGACGCGTCCCCTCCCCCGCCTCCATTTCCTCCTCTGCGACACGAGAGCCGCCAACACTTGCCTGGTGTCCCCCGAGAGGGCGACGCTACGATTTCCCCCACCTGCAAATGGCAAAATGTGTCCAGAGACATGAGGTCCCTTGCCCAAAGTCACTCACACAGCCGGTGGGTCACGGAGCTGGGACTTGAAGCCATGAAACGTGGCTCCAGAGGCTGCGTGCGCAGCCGCAAAACTCCACTGCCTGTTGGGAATAATAATAAACCCACTGCTGGGATCGTTTCAGGGCATTGTGCTGCCATAGCCTTATGGAAAGTTCCGAGGCCCGATGCCTGGAAGTCAGCAGGCATCCCATACGTGTTCGCTAGGGAGGTGATCAGGCTCCCAGGTGGCCCCCAGGGACCCCCATCCTGGCATTCACAGCCCAGGGCGGGGCTTCCAGCCGTAACCCAGAATCCACCTTTGTGACCGACAGACCTCGGCAAAAGTGACGGGCTGTCACCAGTGACATAAAACACCAGCTTGGTCACTCTCTGGCACCCCGTCGGGGGTAAGGAAGCGAGGCCGCCCGCCATGAGCCACGTGAGGGGGGCGGCTTGGGCTCCCAGCAACTCCAGCCCCGGTCGAGCCTTCAGATGAGGCAGCCCCGGCCGACCGCTTGACTGTGACCTCATGAGAGACTCCAGCCAGAGGCCCCCAACTCACCTTCCTCCAGATTCCTGACACCCAGTCTCTCTCTGTGTGAGATGATAAGTGTTTGTTGTTTTTATTTATTTTTAAATATGTTCTCCTATCCCGTGGGTTGTCTTTTCACTTTTTATTTATGAGACAGAGGGCAAGCAGGGGAGTGGGGCAGAGGGGAAGAGAGAGAGAGAGAGAGAGGGAGGGAGGGAGAATCTCAAGCAGGCTCCACACTCAGCACAGAGCCCAAGACGGGGCTCGATCCTACGACCCTGGGATCACGACCTGAGCTGAAATCAAGGGTCGGGCACTCAACCCACTGAGCCACCAGGCGTCCCAGCGTTTGGTGTTTTTAAACCGGGAGGTTCCGGGGTAATTTACGCAGCAGCGGCTGATACGGGCCGTGCTGATGAGACACTAGCCGTTGCTGAGAGCCAGCTCCGCGCGTGACCGGGCTGTGGCTACTCGTCTTCTATTTCTCAAAAAGAAAGAAAGAGGAAAAAAAAAACGCCAAGCTGGCTCTTCCTCAGACCCTTGCCTGAGCGACACCGTTGTCATCTTCAACTCGCAGGCCCAATGGCACCGTCTCGGGAGCCCTACACACCCACACCCGTCCTTCCCAGTCTGTCTCGCCCACGTCACCTGCTCCCCCACAGCGCGTCACGGGTGGACGTGCCTTGTGCGTTAGACTTTTCGCGTTTGTCACCTGTCTCCTGACCCCGGGGCACCAGAGGAGGGGGCTGAGACTCTCGTGGCCCGGAGCAGGGACCTAACAAATACTTGTGGGATAAATGAATGAATGAATGAATGGGGCCAGAGCTCCTATGGTCCCAATGTTGTGGATGAAACCACGGGCACAGAAAAAGGCCTTTCCCAAGTGCGCACGACAGATGCTAGGGACACTGTTCCAAACCTCGGAACTTAGGTCACCGGCTGCTCAAAGCAGGTCATATTCAGATTTAGAAAAAAGAATGCCACTTCAGATCCATTCCAGGAGGCTGAGGACACTTGATATGCCTTTCAGCCTGGGCTGGGACCTACTGCCTGGTTCACGCTTGTGCCCACGATAACACCCCTAAGGGTACAGACGTCCTTCGCAACTAACAACAGTTCTGAGCCCCGCCCCCGGACCGTCAGCGATGTCTGAGGACATCTGTGGGTGTCGCGACTACACAGAAAGGTATCGAGTAGGTAGGGTCAGGGATGCTGCTCACCCCACCTTGACCGCGTGGTGCCCAGGATGCCCCCCCACCCCCAGAACGATCCAGACCCAATGTTGCCAGGTGCTGACATTGAGCGATCCCGGCACAGACCAAGAGCTGCTTCGTGAACCAACCCAACCCCCTTTGCCGATAAATCACGGGCCTCACTGCATAAACGATTCAGGATTTTTTTTTTTTTTTAAGTGCATTTTGAGTAGATACAGGCCATTCCGGGGCCCCAGGGCCAAGGTCAAAGACTCCAGAAAGGTTGGAGATGGCACGGGGAGAGCCAGCACTGGGGGCAGAGGTGCAAGGCGGATGGGACTGAGCCGACGCAGGGAGCAGGGCGGAAGAGAAGCGGGTGAGAAGGGGCAGGGGGGTGGAGGGGGCAGCGCTGGGGGGAAGGATGTAGAGGCAGGTGGCTGTTTGGCTGTTTCAGAAATAGAAGCGGCCTGACATGCCGAAGTGCTGACTGGGGGGCGGGGGGCGAGACAGCACAGACCCCCCCAAAGGCCGCCGACTTCCTCGCGTGGAGGAGAGACAACCCACAAGTGAGGGACGCTCACAGCGTATCTATCAGCTGGGGACAAATGCCGTGGAGAAACAGCAGACGGGAAGGAGGGTCTCGAACCCCATGAGTCAGGGGTGGGTGGTTGAAGTTTTAAACAACGTGAATCAAGAAGGCTTCAACGATGACAGAGATTTCAACAGGACGTAAAAATGGAGAGAGTGAGGGGCGCCCGGGGGGCTCAGGCCGTTGAGCATCCGATTTCGGCTCAGGTCATGATCTCGCGGTTCGTGGGTTCGAGCCCCCGCGTCGGGCTCTGTGCTGACAGCTCAGAGCCTGGAGCCTGCTTCGGATTCTGTGTCCCGCTCTCTCTCCGCCCCACCCCTGCTTGTGCTGTCTCTCTCTGTCTTTCAAAAATGAATAAACGTTAAAAAAAAAAAGGGAAGAGAGGTCCGGGAGGAGGGAACTACGTATGCAAAGGCCCTGGGGCAGGACCAGCCCAGCTTGATGGAGGAGCAGTGAGGAGGGAGAAGGCCCGCACTGCTGAGTGGGTGAGGGGGAGAGAGGGAGGAGGGGGAGGAGACCTGGCGGGTAGTCCGGAGGACTTGAACTTTCACACTGAGGGAGGCGGGACCAAAGAAGTTGGAACCACCTTAGACCTGTCTAAATGTGGTGACTGTGACTTAGGTGTGCCGCCACGAGGAGGAAGGACTCCGCGGGGCCACACTGGCTATTACTTCAAGGGAAGAAGCCGCAAAGGCAGAGTTTCAGGAAACTGCTAAGTTTTGTCAAGTGGGCAATCAATTCAAATATTTTTAAAACTTTTTAAATGTTTACTTATTTTTGAGAGAGAGAGAGGGACACAGAGAGAGTGCGAGCAAGGGTGGGGGGGGCAGAGGGGAGAGGGAGACACAGAATCCGAAGCAGGCTCCGGGCTCCGAGCTGTCAGCACAGAGCCCGACACGGGGCTCGAACCCACGAACCGTGAGATCATGGCCTGAGCCGAAGTCTGGCAATCAACCGGCTGAGCCACCCAGGTGCACCCAATCTAGTGGGTCCAGCAACGGATCTTCCTGTTGTTCGTTAAACTTACCAGGTACAGTCCTGCCTCAGGACCTTTGCACCAGCTGCTCTCTGCCTGCAATAGTGTTGCTGGGTATCCCCCCCCCCCCCCCCCAGCTCACTCCCTACCCTCCTGCAGATTTTTAAAATCAAGACTGGCTTGATGACAGAGGCTCCTGGCCGGCTCAGTCGGTAGTGTTCGACTCTTGATCTAGGGGTCGTGAGTTCAAGCCCGATGTTGGGCATAGAGATTAGTTTAAAAAAAGGAAGGAAAAAAAAAAAACAAAAAACGGAGCGCTCTCATGATACTGTGCGTAACTGCCCAGGCCAGAGGGCAGTTTATTTACTGAAACAAATAAAGTATTTTGGCCCCCAGCCATGCCCACTGATATACACACAGCGCGTGGCCGCCTTCCAACGACAGCCATGGAGTTGAGTGGCTGCAGAGCTGAAAACAGTCCTTTACAGAAGACGTTTGACAAGAAACCGGGATGTGATTTTGCACCCCCGCTCCTCAGAGGGGCAAACTCAACCAACGTGACCGGGCAGAACAGCTAATTGGCCCCAAGATCTGTAACCTTTTATTTATGTATTTATTTTAATCTTTATTTATTTTGGGAGAGAGAAACAGGGCACAAGCTGGGGAGGGGCAGAGAGAGAGGGAGACACAGAATCTGAAACAGGGAGACCTGTTTCAGAGCAAGGGAGACCTCTGGAGAGAAATGACATGTCGGTGGAGACCTGGAGGAGGTAAGAGAGCAACTCAGGTGACGATCTGGGGGAAGACAGTTTCAGGCAAAAGGAGCCGCAAGTGCAAAGGTCCGGGGGCAGGTCAGAGTCCAGCGTGTTGCAGGAATGGGGAGGAGGCCCGTGTGGCTGGCGCGGAGTGTGTGAGGGGGAGGGAAGGAAAGGGGGCGGGGTCCTGCAGGGCCTTGAACGCCACGGGGAGGACTTGGGCTTTTACCCTGAGGGAGATGGGAGCTCTGGGGGGGCTGTGGGCAGAGGGGAGCGGGGCCTGACTCAGGGGCTCACAGGCGTCCTCCAGTGGCCGCTTCCGGAAGAACGGACTGTGGGGAGCAGGGAGAGGAGCCTGGGACCTGGGGGGAGGTGACCACTGGCCCAGCCCAGCAATGATAGGCGCTGGGCCGGGGCGGGGGGGGGGGGGTTGGGGAGGCTCAAGGAAGTGGGGGGAAATGGTTGGGTTTGTGGATAATTTGGAGAAAGGGAGAGGAGCAGGAGGAGGCAAGGAGGGTACCTGGGCTTTTGTCCTGAATGTTCTAGACAGACAATGAGGAGCTGCTTTGTGGTTAGGAGGGAGAAATCAGAGGTTATCTCAGTCACGACTCCTTGGATCAAGTCCTCCCTGTTCCCACCCTCCCCCTTCCCTTCCCTGACCTCACCCCCTTCCACTCCCCCTTGCTCCCTCAGATCCAGCCACACTGTTCCTTAAATATGCCAGACTGGATCCTGCCTCAGGGCCTTTGCATTAGCTGTTCCCTCAGCCCAGGACACCCTTCCCCAGATAGCCACATGGCTGGCTCCCTTGTTGCCTTCAGATCTCGGCTCCAACGTCACTTCCTCATCAAGGTCACCCTTGGCCACCCTGCCTAAAACTGAAGCCCATTCCCCCACACCCCCTGCTTTGTGTTTCTCCTTACCTGACACGATAGATTTTACCTACTTTATTGCACAGGCACCACACCCTACCGGAGTGAGCACCCCTAAGACCGGGATGTGCGTTTGTCTTGTTACACAGCTGTACCTAGTGACTGGCACACAGTAGGTACTTAATAAATCCTGCCGGAATCAATCAACGAATGGACAGGACAGCACCTGGCACACAGTAAGCGCTCAATAAATGTTTCCTGCTGACTCACTCCTCTCCCCAGCAAGACAAAAAGTCTAATCTGCTTTCCACCAGGACTGGCGCATCGTAGAGGCACGACTCACTCCTTTTGGCTAATTAAGAAATGTGACAGGGGCGCCTGGGTGGCATCTTGATTTCGGCTCAGGTCACGATCTCACAGTTCGTGAGTTCGAGCCCCGCGACGGGCTCCGTGCTGACAGCTCAGAGCCTGCTTCGGATTCTGTGTCTCCCTCTCTCTCTGCCCCACCCCCGCTTGCCCTCTGTCTCTCTCTCTCTCTCTCTCTCTCTCTCTCAAAAATGAATAAACGTTTAAAAAAATTATTAAAAAAAAAGAAAAGAAATACGACAAGGCACGGAAGGCAAAACGTATCTAGACTGCCTCTGAAAAATGTGCGGGAGACTGAAGGGATATTCATTCAACAAGTGTTTCCTGAGCATCTACTATGGACCAGACACTGAATTAAGCCCATGACAACCCTGTAAGTTAGGACTATTTTGACTGCCGAGTTAACACAAGAAAGGGAGGCACAGAGAGGTACAGCGGCTTGCCCTTGGTCACACAAGTGGAAAGTAAAGGGGCAGGGATTTAAACCAGGAAGCCTGGCTCCAGGGTTCCTGCCCTTACTCACGCAGCACCTACTATGTGCCGGCCCCTTGCCATGCCTGGATCTGAGGAATCCGCAAGCCAGGCCAGCAGAGAAGCTGCTGGAAATGCATTCTCTGCACTCGGCAAGCATCATCTCGCTTTGTTTATTTGTCCTGACGCAGGGCTCCGGGAGGGCCCTGCTTTGCCCCTACTGTGTGCCCAGCATCCTGAACCGGGCCTCCTGGCACGCGGCAGGTTGGTCACAAATGTGTGTTGAAGGATGAACACATGTCCCTATTCAGAGGAGGAGCCGGGCGCAGGCAGGTTTAGGGCCCACACACCACCCCCCCCCCCACCCCCCCCCCCCCCCCCCACCCCCCCCCCAACCTCCAGCTTGCGTGGGTGTCCCCGCGGCGGCCCCTTCCCAACCTCCTACTTCAGCCACAGGGAGAGGGAAGAAAAGGCCCCGTGCGTGAGGCTCTCTGGGGCCACCCAGATCAGAATGTTGCCAGCAGCCATTGGGGGGTGGGGTGGGGGGGGTGGGGGGCGACTTGCAGGGACTCGGAGGCGAGGACCAGCCCACCAACCCTGTCCCCCACGGGAAGGGGTGGGGGTGCGGGGGCCGAGCTGAGGGAAGCAGGCTCCTGCCGGGGAAGGGGGTTCCGGGAGCCGCTGGAAAAAGTGGTTTCAGGGCCCCGAAGGGGCTGGGGCCCCCGAGGGGCGAGCGGGAGTGGCGGGGTTTGCGGGGCTGGAAGAACAGGCACCGGGGAAGGGGGCTCCGAGCTCCCGGAGGAAATCAGAAACATGGGGTGGGGGGCTGGAGAGGAATGGGGGGGGGGGGGGGGGAGAGGCACCGGATGTTGGGGAGAAATCCGGGTTGGAGGCCTGCTGGGTGTTGGGAGAAGTCCAGAAGAGTTGGGGAGAGATCGGTGGCGTTGGGAAGGAATTGGGGTGTTGGGGAGGGATCCGGGAGGGGGGGTGGACTTCGAGGTGTTGGAAAGGAATTCGGGGTGCTGGAAAGACATCTGGGGTGCTGAGGAGCAATGGGGGGGGTAAGGAGGAAGCAGGGGGTCAGGGAGGACCAGGGCCACCCGGGAGAGGAGCCGAGCGTTGAGGGGGACACCGAAGAAGGGGCGCGAGGGCGCCATGAACGGGGGGGGGGGGGG